GCGGACAGCACGGACGCTCTCGGGAGCGAAAGGCGCTATCTCGTTACTGTTGTTATAGATACACTAACGTTAAAATGCTGACTTTAAAATCACATCTAAAAATACCTGTTTTCCTCCTTTTCCTTTATATGGATTACACAACCACGCAAAGTCCGATGTAGCTGGCACCGATGCCTGCCTTTTCTTGCAAGTGCTTGAGTTATTAGTGGGGTATGGTAACATATATTGGATTTGTACAAAAGTCTGTTCAGATAATCTGCTCTCCTTTTAGGGGGGAGGTTTACAATTAGGACACCCCTGTACAGCTCACACATCCACAACATTACATATTCTGTTCACCAAAGAAAACAAAATAATTAGGGGAATTTAGCTGCACAGCACTGAAGATGCTTTAGTTAAAGTCCCCTGAAGGGATTTCTGGAGCGAGGAAGAAAAGCCATCTGCTGACTCCAAAGGAAGTGTCAGCAAGGAAATAAATTTGGGAGGAATAATACAAACAGCCAGAGCTGAACTGCAACGCGGCAACTCTCCAGGAAATCGAATCTCAAGTACTCCAGGCAAATAAAAGTCACTCCTTTTAAAACAAACAAACAAAAATAACAACAACAACCACCACCCTCCAGAAAATACAGGACAAGAACTGGAAGCCCCAGGTGAAATGTTTCCATTTTCCAGTTATTGTGTATTTCTCTAACATGGCTAAGCATGTCTCAAACAATAAAGAGAACAGAAAGCACATACTTAGTATATATTTTATCTGATCTTAAAATCTTGACATCCTCAAGGGTTTTGCATCTGACTTATTTTAATTAACATTTAGATCAATAAATCTACATTAGTGGGTTAATGAAAGAGATAAACACCGCAGCACATTTGTCAATTAAGCATTTAGGTGATGACGAAGTCAGAACAAAACCTTGGCGCCTACAGATTATTTACATGATCATTGAAGCAACTTAAGCAGAAAGAAATTCTGTACAGTGCAGTCTATACCATTGTAGAGACACTTCTTAAAGGAAGAGACGGAAATCCCCTGAATCATTTAAAAGCAGCTTGAAGGAGTCGCACACAGGTGACTCCTTCATTCCTACCATCGCTACGAAACCGGCTTCCAGGAGTCACTGCCCAGAGGCAATTTAGCGCAATGAACACTTAGGTTAAAAATCAGCAAGCGCTCTCCCTAGCCAGGAAAGCACTTCCGCATGTGCTCGCCTGCCAGCATGTGCTTAACGACCAGAGTTAAGGAGAGGGAAGCACCTACTCAGAGGTGATGGAAACTGCAGGTGGAAAAATCTTCTGCTTTCAGCCACAAAAATGAGGCTGTAGCCAATCCTCCAGAGAGTTTATCTGTTTCAAATACAGGAAAATCGATGGGACAGGAGGTAACTTTAGGATCACCTGGCTCGCCCAAGGCAAATTATACACCAAATGCTTTGGACTTGGAAAAGCTCCAGCTGCAGGAAATCATACTGTGTTGCAGCCACAGTAAAATGAAGTCATCACTTTAAGAAGAAGGAAAATACCATTTCTACATGGTTCTGAAGCCAGAAGCAACATACATTGACAAACAAAATCTTAACACGCTTATGAAATGACATGAAAGAGGCAGAAAACATTGAAATAATTTCGAGTTTGTAAATTTGTATGAGATGTCTTGAACCACAAAGCTGGGAGGCTGAATCCAAATCTGTACTCCTCCGCTTATGCACTCATGAAGGTATGCATGCATGTGCTGGGTCAGGCTGCTTGATAATCTGCCATTATAACGAAAAACTCCACTTTTTTCCCCAGATACTGATGAAAGAAGTTTATACGTAGCATAATTACGAATCAATTACTTTGCTGTTCATTCGGCCACCATAAAATTCAGTGAAGGCCAACTCCCATATAATGGCAGCTCTGGTTCTGCCAATATACGCCTACATCAGCTGAGCTGAGAGTCAAATTCATGCACATAGAAAGCAACACAGGAAAAAAGAAATCCAAATTTACCATATATTTTCAAGCCTCAGTTCAGTGTACTTTAAGTCCCAACAAATCCCCCTTCATTACCACCACACGTGCATGAGAGCGCATTAAAGGAGCAAACCACACCTAAGATTCAGCTGTGCGCTTGTCAGGACACACACACACACACAGAGGGAGGACGCACTTACATCGATGAGGTCAGAGACATCGTGGATGTAGTACTTGCTGACAGCTGCGTTGGTGGCTGCCAGGGTCAGCAGGTAGTCATTCCTGGCTTTAGTACACTTCAGCTTGTTTTCAGAATATTTGGCTTGTCTCTGAAAAAGCAAAACGGAGTGTCAGAGCACAAACAGGATGCTCCTCTCACAGCTGCTCTTGCTGCACGGCCCCAGAGCACCCTGGAGTCTGGGTGTGACACGTTAATTAACAACATTTGGTATCAGGTACAAAAACAGGTACCTTTGCCAGGATGGAGGAGAATACATCTGAACATCCTTGGTTCATTCAGCCAACGCACAGTAAGCGCTCAGATGTGCCCAGTATGCTCCGAGCACAGCTGCCGTCCTTTTATCTGTACATTCAGAGAGGTTTTGGCATCAATCAAAATTAGAGGGCTAAATTTTCCTCCCAGATACACTGACATACATCTGGACTTACTCCAGATTTATGCAGCTGTATCAAAGTGGAATCTGGCCCAGAGACTCAAGCTATGAAATTCAGAACAGGACCTAGGACTGAAAACCGTACAAACGCAGATGTGCTTGGCTGGGGGGCATTTGTTCAGGCAGGTCGCTACCCCAAAGGTCTAGCGCAAAAGATTAACCCTTCAAAGAGGCTAGACAGTGCCCCAGTGCTGGGTGAGCACGCGCGCAAACAAACGTTTCCTGTCTGGGGAAGCTGCTGATCGTTCTCAGAAAATAACAGAAGAAAAAAGTTAACAGAAGAGTTAAACAATTTTGGAGTTGCTGAGAACCAGTAAATCAGTTGCTGATTTACTGAAGCGGGGATGGAGTTAAGTGTTTTGAGTAGGGAAGCCAATCAAATGCTGTACTTCGCCTCCCAGGCCAGTCCGTGGAGGAAGGCACGCTTATTTTATATATCCAACCCTCCCCCCACCACCCCCAAGTCTCCAACCGAATGAATCCCAGGACAGCTATTGTTCCTTGTTAAAATACCGTTTTTAGAAATAAAATGTGAAGTGTCAGGTACGGTCCATGAGCAAACCACAACCCTCCGTAGCAGCGTCCTCGGTCCGGAGGACAGAGCGCTACCGTGCCGGATTAGATGTACTGGCACGCTCCCCTCCTCAGCATCCGCTGGAGCCTCGCGGACCCCAGAGGGGCACGGCCAAGCGCCAGCCGAAGCCACCGGCCACAGTCAAAGGCCTTTCCAGGCGCCCTTTCAACCCTCCCTCCGAAGAGCTGCCCTGGAGCGCACCACGGACGGCCGCGCCGCCCCCCACGCGCCCACCACCCCCTCCCAGGCTGCACTCCACCACGTCCCCCGTCCCCGTTTCCTGCTAAGAGGTGCCAGCCTGATTGGGATTCAAATCCCTGCTACCTGCTGGTTTTGGCACCTTTCCGGGACTCACAAGCAGGAAAGAGTCTTTATGGCCTACTCAAACTGCTCTTCAGTTAAACACACGCACACGAGTCAAGTTAGCAGGAGACATCCTCCCTCATCCCTTCACACGATTACAGAAACGGCTACGTGAAAGCAAAAAGGTCTGGAGCCAAAATATTTTGCCACATAGGGAACCTCCGGACAGCACTCCTGACTCCAGCCTCGCTTCCACCATCTCCTTCCTCTTCCTTCCTGCCCACTCACCCACCTTTTCCTTCATCTTCTCAATCTTCTTGACGGAGCTCCGTCGCTGAGGCCTGTCCTCATGGCGCAGCAGGTTCACGCTGATGTCCCCTGACTTATTGAACTGCTTTTCTTCCTGCTTCTCTGCCTCTTTCAGCTTGCTCTCAGCGCTGATGCTTTCTGCATGATACATGTGGTAAGTTTTCATCACCTGAGGAAACAGGAATCTGTGAGTCTCCTACTCGATGAACCCAAGAAGCCCCAGTACTCATGCATGAGGCTAACGTGATAGCTACAGACAGCGTGGGGCAGAGCCTCAGCTGCGCCAAGGCTGTTTGAGGCCACTAAGGCATTTATGAGGAACAACGAGATGGAAAGAAAAAGCCCCTAAAATTACCCCTAACACTAGTCCTATTTCCAAAAAGCACAGAGCTGGCATGGTAACAGTTATTCCCTGCTCAGTCCTGGCTGCAGGGGACGGACTGAGACAAGCCTGCCAGGGCTTTCCTGCTAGCAACACTGCATGTTTCTCTTGCCATGGAGAAATGGGAAAGCACTTAGTGCTCTGCAGCTGGGAGAGGCAGAGAGGCTTCTCCATGACCGAGACTGCGGAGAGCGCAAAATGAGTCTTAAGTCACTTTCGATCCAACTCTTCTCTTCCTACAGTTGAGCTTGCTAAGCCAGACCATCAACGTGATAGAGTAATTCCTGTTCTACCATCCTGACATTGGACCTCAGCCTAAAGGTGGAAGAGCTGCAATTTCCAAGCAAAAATGGAGCTTGTCAGCTAGAACCACTTAATTCTGGTTTTACCACTGCCAGTAAGAACAGTCGATGCCACGGTGGACTCTAGCAACGCTCGGTGACTCTGGATACGCGAAGATGGTCTATTGCAAGGAAAACTCCTCGTGGCACAAATTCTACTACAGCATTTACTCTTAAAAATAAAAGCCCAAAGGGCACATTGCGATCATTTTAATAGTGTTGGCAAGAAGGACACATCTGATCTTCTCGCTTTATGCCTTTAGTCACACTGTCCCCTTTTATCAACCCCCTTCAGGATTTGGATGTTTTATTTCACATTGCCTTGACAAGGCTCGAGACGCCTGACCTACCTCTGCAGATCAGAGTTTCACGATAACTGCCTGGGCACTGCCAACCACGGGACTGAGACACACAGGCTGGTCAAAGCGTGGACCCCCGCACTGAACCAGGCAGCAGAGCAGGCCAACCCACAGCAGTATCTCCAAGTACTTCTCTCTTTCTACAAGCGGAGCACACTCTGCATCAGCCGTTACCTAGTGTGGTCTGCTCCCTTGCTGAGGCAACGACACGGCTCTGCCTCCTTCCTGTTGATGGGTCTCCTACCCAAAAGAGGCGGGGGGGGAGTGGGGTTTGTGAGGAGGTCCCTACTGGTCCTATTGCATTGCAACCACGACTGTAGGAGGACACAGTACTGCCACGCACATGCAGGTGTGTTATCACAGTCCTGCCGCCTGCACAGCGGGGTGTGGGTCCTTGCCACGAGGTCTAACATACTAACGACATCTGAGCAGGCTTTGGTTTGCTAAAGACACTCCAGCCCTTTCTCCATGGTGTCATGCAACCCCTCCCCGCAAAGAGATCCAGTTGATCCAGAAAAGCACCACAGACTACATCATCTTACAGTATAATTCCCCTAAAATGGCCTGGGATTTAAAAAAAATTTAAGATAAACAGGGGATGTGAACAGCGACCGCACGTATTAGAGAGCGCAGTGAGGAGTGGATCAAAAGCAACACAGGGGAGCCAGACAACCCGGACAGCTGCCCGGTTGACGGCGTTCTCCTGAGAGGTTTAAAGAGTTTCCAAAGCCTTTCTGAAAAGGAGTTGTCCCAAACTACTCTGGTCAGACAAGCATTCAGACACTGATGATATTCTAGAGACCTGCCATTTACCTCCACAAATGAAGAGCTAGCAGTGTAAAGTAATTAAAGCCCCCAAATTGGGCTGGCCAGTAGAATGGCTTTGGGAAGAAGATTGAAAACAGGACCGAAACAGAAATAATTTCTACTGCTGTGGGGCTTATGGATGGACTGTAGCCCCACAGCAAATATCACGATTCCAGCCCCTTTCTATCCCATTACATTTAACACCATTGGACTATTCAAACCACTACAAAACTGTATCTGCCAAGTTGTCTTTTCCAACTACCACAATGCCAACATGATCTTAACGTTAACATGCTCAAGGCAATTAAACGACGGCAGAAAGGATCGCCATGGCTCACACCGGAGGCTCGGGATGCTGCAGGTCGCCCCAGCTGCAGGGGGGGCAAAGGGCATCAGCTGCTCCCCCAAAGTTCAGAGCATCGCCCTGTAGCCGTTCCTCTGGCCTTTACTTCACACCCGCGTTTCCTGCTGCCTTGCCTGCTCTCCGCGTCCGCTCTCGTTTCTCTAGCACGCCCGCACAGAGAGGCTGGACCGCGGGTCTGACAGGCCAGGGCTGCAAAGTCAGCAGCAAAAGCATGACTCGCAGCATGCTGCCCACGGCACGGCCAGCAGCGGATATTGTCATCGCAGCAGATACTGGCTATGATCTTAACTGATGACTTTTGCGTGCCGAGTACTGAGTCCTCAAAAAAGCAAAGCCTGTCTGTGGCAACTCAGACTCACTGTCCCAAAACTGAGATATTAAAACCACCACCGCTTTTGAAAGCGTGGTCTTTGATTCACTGCTACTTCTGCTCTCTTCCCAGGCCCTTGCTCCAAGAGCTGCCGTACGGGGCTGCTACGATGCACTTGCACGTTCTGTGCCTGCGTAGCCCAAGCAAAGGGCCAGACTCTCAGCTATTGCCAATGAGCACAGCACCACTGAAACGAGTGCTGAGCTGCCCCCACGAAGGAGCTGGCTTCGTTCCTCTGCAGATTCTTCGCGCCAAGTATTTTATTTAGCAACCCCTGAATACAGAACAAAAGTAAATAGGGAGCAACAGAGGGAGAAGATAACCGACTGCAACTCGCCAGTTCCTGTCTGAGCTCCCAGGGACCTCTGCAAACGTCTGCCGAGGCGACGGGGAGGGAGAGATGGTGATGCTGAACAGCAGCCTGACACAGATTTTAAGGCAGCAAGCTCCTTTCTTATCTCCAGCCCTTCAGCAACGTTACAGGAAACAAATGTGCAAGGACTCTGAGTTACGGGTTATCCGGACGCTAACAGCCCTGCATCCCTAGGCAGGGAAAACGAGGTAGCAGAGAGCCAGCTCTGCCTCAAGCGCACCTTGTTACACCACCGGGCTCTGCCCATGGCAGCCCCCAGGGGCCCGTGCCGGGCCGCCAGGCCCCGGCGGTCGCAGAACCCGTCCCACGGGCAGTGAGAAACCAGCTGGCAACTCAGCTCATACCAACGTATCCTTAATCCATCATCTGCCATACTTGCACAAATGGCTCCTTCGTTCTTCTCAAAGGCAACAGACTTCTCTAAAACTAGCTTTTTCCAGGGGCCCATCAATAACTGTATTTAAGATAATACCAATCTTTTGCAAGAGAAACTCTGCCATGTCAGAAAGAAACGGATAAAATCTTTCACGTGGGCAGAAACAACATCAGCTGGAAGGGGAGGAAAAAAACCCTAGCTTTGTACAAACATGGCATAAGTCAAGTATTACCCAATACCTGCTGGCAAACAGGTCCTCCTGAATTAAAGGCAAATAGAGCTGAACTAAAATGATGTCCTCCTAACTCAGCTAAAGCGCCTTACAAATGTCAGCGGAGTTGTCAGTGCTGCTGTGCAAATATTTCCTGAGTTCTCAAAATAAAGTGGCCCCAGGACCCTGCCACAGATGCCAAGGTCAGATAACCTCCCACAGGCTTCGTTCTGACCCGTATTTCAGCTCTAAATTCCTTCCTCGCTTTGTCCCTGACTTGGCAGGTAGCTTCGGGCAGGTCACTCACCTGACCAGCTCATAGCTAGTCCTAAACTTGCACCAGTCTCGCTGCTAAGCATGAGCTTAAGCTGAAGTTTGAATGCAGCTGAACTAACTTATATTTTTTGGATGGAAATGCCAAGAAACACTGCCATTGTTGAGGCGGAAGCGAGGCCCACAATTTCAAAGGGAACATGAACCCACAAAAGCAGAATAAGTTTGCACAAGCCTTAAATGAAGAAAATTCAGTTTTCCACAGCTGTAGTTGTCAGAAAGAACTTAAGAGTGTTTAACTTGGAACAGGTTAGGCTGAAACATATGATCTCTATTCTTGCCAAGTGCAGACGTTAGCTGTAAATGAGCCCCAAATGCCTTATCGAAGTCTGCAGAAATGTGCCATCTCTGGGATTTATAATTTTAGGCAACAGCAAGAAGTAATAAGCAAAGACTTGAGTCTTGTTTCTGGGCTCCTTAATTTCAAAATCCTGCAACTGCTAATGCAGAGCTGAGCCACACGTTTCAAACTGCAGTTTCTGCAGTGAAAGCCAAGGGACCTACACGGAACAGATACCTTCTGGGTTTTTTCTAAAGAGAAAGATTAACGGGGGCTTCGGTGAGGCCGCCTCCTCTTCATTGTCTCCATCTTTTTGTGAAAGGCCCAGAGAAAAAAGTGAAACGAGAAGTCTCGAACCTCGGCGCAGGCTGGCAGGAACGAGAAAGGTTTCCCCAGTTCCGTGAGAGGCCCCAACACAACGTAACCGTGTTGCTGCAACGGAGCAGCCCAACAATTAAACGATGGCCCAATTTGCATGATTTTTGTGAAATCTAAAGATTATGACACACGATTACCTAGCCAGAAACATTTCAGAGCAATTATTTAATCAACTGTCTTTGTTCATCCAAGCCAACCGCAGTTCAGTCGCAAGCCTGATCTACACGCTGCTATAATCCTTTTCTTCTATTGACTTCAACTGCTTCAGTTGCAGCACAGAAAACATCAAGCACCCAGAATAAAAGAAAAGACTCCATGATGCAGAGTGCATAAGAGATGCCCAAATCCCACACAATCTGGTAACTTTGCACAGATGTTACTGACTTATTTGCTAATGATGAGAGGAACTTTCCTTAACAAAAAGCCCTTTCTCCTCCTCCATATTTCATCCCTGCTTGAACCTGAAAAGATAACATGGGAACTAGGTTTAAAACTTCTCTGAAAGCCTCCTTAAGAAAGGATAAAGGACTTAACACAATCATCATTTCAAATACTTTCCCCCGACTTCAGCATTCACGTTGCTGGAACGAAGGCCTCTCTCAGCGCACTGTGCAAACCACACTCCTCATCTGATGCCGTGCAACGCTCGCGTTTGGAAATCCAGGGGGTATTTTGCTCGTTTTAAAATCTGCCTTGATTTTGAATGGGCACTGCAGCAATCAACCCTTTGATCTGTAATTCTCTCATGCCTTCTCAGTGTTCGGAATAAAGTCATGCTGTCCCTGTCTTATGCTATTGTGTCATAAAGAAAAGGCGCCACAGCTGTGTCCCTGGGCTCTTTTTGCAAATAAGTTAATTAGCTGCAGTGGAGGGAGAAAAATATGTTCCAATGTTCATTAGTTATTTAACAACACAAGTTGTATTTTCCAATATTAATAACATGTTCTGGATAAAGGCCACTTCCAAAATACCAGCCATAAATGGTACTGTTTGCTGTCTTTAGCTAGAAGTGCTTTATATTTCTAAATAGCTCATCATTAAGGTTCTGACTCAGTAAAGGACTTCACCGATCACGATCGGTCTTAAGCGCACACTTAGGCCCTCCTGAGGTCAAAGAGACCAAAATACAGGCCCACTGGGCAGCAGGGAAGAGCATGGCCATCGGAGCATGCTGGAGACTCCCTCATCTCCTCGGAGCCTCTAGCACAACCTAATGCAGATCCATGGGGTAAGGCCCAAATCTTTCGGACTGACAGAATTTGACCTCTCCCCCACGTTAGCGATAGTAGCAACACACTGATCTTTTAAGAAGGCGTGAAAGAAAACACCCTTTTCTAAAAGACCAATGGTTTCTACAGTGTGATACTTGCAGAAAACATACACTAAACAAGGAGGTATGACCTCCCCCATCGCAACGCTCGTTATGGAAGGAAAAAATTTCCTCCAGACAATTTCTGTCCTGCCATACAAGGATTGATGACTATTATCATTTTTAACCTGGGTGATTTATCAGTAGACATTATTCTAATTAATTCAATTCATTTCACACTTAATAATCCTCTTGAATAATACCTTGTGACAAAGAATTGCCCAGGTTAATATCACAGTACTTCTATGAATTTCAACATGCTGCCTTCAGCTACAGCCTTGTCTCTGCATTACAGCAAACAGACTTCCATATATCAAATAGCACATCATTAGTTCCATACATCAAATAGCACATCATTACATGGAGCTTACAGAGAACATTACCAGAACATTGCTTTGGGGTTATTTTTTTCTTATTCCAATTTTAGCCTGACTTCTTCAAACATGAATGCATACAATACAGAAAATGACCTGTGAGCAAAGGCATAAAAGAACCTTGAATCTTTACAGACTCAAATCTGACAATGTCTACTAGAGTCTATAAACAGGAATCAAAATAATGAAACTGATTTTAATGCACAACTTAAATTATTTCTGTACAAAATTGTTCATGAGCACTCTTATTTCAGACAGCAAGTCATCTATTCCTTTTTTAAATCAAACCAAGGCAGGTTTCCTTAGGTTTACTTCTTTCCACACTGAGAGGGTCCACATGGTGACTTGCATCAAAACAGCATCACAGCTGAATTTAAATATCATTTAGTTATTTGGGCTTATGTTTGAGAAAGTGAACGCCTGAGAAGCCTGCAAAAAATTATAGCTTCCACACACTACACGGGACTCCGCTCTCAAAGTCTTAAAAAGCAGTCTAACCAGGGCTCAAAGGTACTCGGGGTATATACGGTTTGGCCACAGACAGGATAAATGATTCCCCAGCGCTGCCGACAAAGACTAACGTCAATCTGCAGGAATAAGTGGTGTCTTTTGAGCCAGTGGTCCTTACTCTGCATATGATTTTGTCAGCAGCCACTGTTATTGAACGTGCTGCTCTTGGGTACACAAAATGTTGCAGCAAACATGCAAACATCAGTTCAAAGTGAAGGTGTTGCAAAACAACACTAACATGCGGGATCAACCTACAAGCCTCATATGCAATTAAGCCTGTCTTACTTACTTGATAGCTCAAGAACAAAAAAGTATTTACTGGAGTAGCATTGGTTTGTACTGAATATATTTAAGATGACCTTGTTTGCCCAGTAAGGCTTGCTTTTTCTTCAAGTTTTTCTGTAATTTCTGAAATAAGCATGTCTCTCCCGAACATTCATTTCCAGCAGGATGACATAATCAGTTTGTTATCGTAACTGCTGGGTCAGTTCAAAGCAAATGCAAAGTTCCTCCAATAACTCCCATCTGTTCATCCATTTAAACTCATTCTGCACTGCCTGTGGGAGCAAAGCAGTAAATGGAGTGAAATCTCTGTTCCAGTGAAGACCAGTTTTGCCACAGGCTCAGTAGGACCAAAATCACACTCTACGTTTTCCTCGGAGAACTGCAAGTATTTCAGACCTCAACACACTTTTCATGCTCAAGCTGACTTGAATTGTGTCCTTCACTTGATGTTTCTGTCCTGTGTTTGAGTTTCGAGTAGCTGGATCTACAGGTATTGAGAGTTAGCCCAGCCCTTGTTAATCTTTGTTTGTTGTGCATCTATCATGCTGTTGCTGTAATTAATCTTAATTGGTCACTACTGCTAATACAGTCGGTGATATTCAACCATGAGCAACGCAACCCCGCATCTCACACAGGCTCTTTAATCCAGTCTGACTGTCCACCCACACTGCAGCTCTCACAAAAACCAAACCCGTTCAACAGCCAGTGCAGAAACAAACCTGCTAAGGGAAGATTCACTGTAGAAATTCAAATAATATCGTTCATGGTCTGTTATTTAGGCCTACTTTTTCAAGGTGATGGAATAAAATGAGTGTTTAGGAGTAAACCTGCTGCAGTACAATTTATGTACCGGTAACAGATACAACTGAGGAAAGAAAACATACCGTTTGAATTTTCCTACACAAGACAGCCTTCATATTGCTTCACGGATCTTAAACCCAAACAAATAAAGCAAAATAAAATAAAACAATTCCTAAGGGGCAAGAGACAGAAGTAACACAAGGATTTTTACTGCCCTACTCATGAAAACCTAATTTGAAGGGAGCTGTCCTGAGGAGCAGGGCTGTGTTTTCACCTGGAGTCCTATGTCTGTACAGCATCTGCAAGGAAACTGCTCCTTGGGGGCTCAAGCAGGGAGATTCAGCTGAGCACACACCAAAGTTACAGTTTCGTGAATTCATCGGCAGAAGGCCTCATTCAGCCAACATCAACAGGTCACCAGACTCATGAGAACAGGTCATGTTCCAGCCACAAATTAACGCTGCCAACGCAGAGCACAACTTACCGACCCGTTAGCGCCTGGTGGAAAGTACCAGGTGAGTGAAAATTGAAAGGGGCCTAAAGGAAATACTGTAGAAGCCACGGCAGGTATGAACGTTATAGACACCAGACATGGCACTGGAACAGGCCCAAAACATTTCCCTTTACGCTCAAGTGAAACGATTAGGCGACACGATCCATTGTCTGATGAAAACGTGGAAGTTCTTCACTGTAGAATAGCTGGTAAATTCTCCTCTGCTTCAGTCAAAACCAGTGAAGAGTGAAATGTTCCTCCTAACAACTGAAAAAAGAACTGGCTGTACCACGAGATGGCACGAGGGAGAGAGAGACTCCAGAAGTAACTGTAATGTTTAACTGACATTTTGTTCTAACAAATTAAATCGCCTATGTTTCCTTCGCTGCACAGGTTAGACATGAATAGGAACAGTTCATTACTTACTGTGTAAAGCTCATTGGTGACTTTCAAGAGTTCTTCATGCATCTGTAAGCCAATTTCCTTACTCTGGAAGGCAAAAAGAGTAAGAGGTCAGATTCTGTTATGCTCACAATGTGCATTTTTAAGAGGAAAACACATTTTGAAGGAGGAAAGTGAAACTATGCGACTTCCACATATTCCGTGCATATGCATCTTAATCTTTCTCCAGCCTGAATTCACAGGAACGATCTGCATGCTCTGTGGTGTGGTGCTAGCCAGATCTACCTGCAGTGCCAGCAGAGCTGGGCTGGTGGGTCTTCCAGCACGGTGGAGGTGCACGGGCCAGCGCTCCTCGGCCAGCGAGGCAGGAGCGGGGCACGCAGCCAGGACCTTGCTGCATTTCGCCAACTCCCACCTTTGGGACTACCAGCAGGTAGGAAGCATCCAGCCAGACTCCCGAGGGGCCGGCGACCCACCCTGGGTGCCCACACTGTAGGAGGGCAGCAGACAGCCAACGGCCTGAGCCGAGCTTCCTGCTCCTCAGCCACGAACGCCACGGAGCGAGCGCTCTCCCCCTCTCCTTCGGCCAGGGGGATGGCAGCTACCACCACTTCAAGAAACAAGGTGGCCTATTTTTTCCCGACTAGCTGATCAGAGGTGCTTGGCAGGTTTTCAGGGACGCCGGAGTACTGGTAGGGTACGTCAGGGCACGGGCAGAAGGAACAGACTCTGGAAACGTTGGTGCTCTGGCAGAACAGCAAAGGATTGACCTCTCCTTTTAGGAGCTCAGCTAAGATCTGAATCGCTGTGAAGCGAGATGCATTTGTTCCAAACCCGTCCAGCTCTTGCGTCCAAGCGAATCCTGGTAACCCCCTAGCAAATGCATTCACACCCATCCCACAGAGAACAAAAACACAGCAACTTATTTATGCTGCTGCTATCTAGCTGCATTTTTCACATTGCTTTCATGCCTGCAGGGTTTTGCTTTCCTTCTTTCGGTTTGCAATGGAGTGGGTGGATCCTGGCAGCACAGCCAGTTTCTGGTAATGCGTTTCTTAAATACCTTCTGCCCCCACAGAGATTTGCCCTCTGGTGGCTCTCCTGCCACACATGAGATTTTCCATCTTTTGCTCTGCACTGGAGTTAACATTCTGTGTGCATTTTAATTATAGATATTATTTTATCAACGAAACTGCCCTGCAGCACAAAAAAATGCCTCAGGGGCCTTATTTACAACACTTCACAAATCCTGTCTAATATCCTTCCTGCCTCAGAAACTGAAAAGACAGCATCAACAGGGCTGCCAATCCACATCTGGGCTCTGTTTTTTCCATTTATAAACATTAAAACCAAAATTCAGATGGCCTCCTCTTCCAGTCTGCCTAGGACAGTGGCCCTGGGAAGTTTAAAAATAAACCAGTATTTTCATTTCCATTTATTTTCTATAAATCCTTATCAAAATAAAATGCATAATTATAAACATGAATACATATGGTACAGCAAACCCACATGCTACTTCAGAATTGCTGCGTTTCTGTTTGAGGTCCAGGTTTGTCCATGGAACACCCGACCCGGGTTGCAGAGACCATGATGAGGAGCATCCCATATAATTTATTTATCTTGCAAATCCACAGGGATGAATCTGGAATTACAGGCAATACTGTTTTGCTCTTCCACTGGCAGAATTCATTCCCAGTCCAGAGTCAACTCTGTGGATCTAATATTTTCCACATTTCTCCATTTCGGGTACGTGTTCCATATTAAGACTGGCAGGCTGCATGAAAGCGGGGTCTGCTCCATCGCCAGGAGTGATTTTTATAGCTTGACTTCTTATATTTTTCAACAAAAGCAGCATTATTGCAAGTGGATAAGTGGCTGTTGCATTTTCCTCACAGAGCTGGCTACACGTTAGCGGTAGACTAACTCCTCTGTATAAGGTTTATACAGTGAACATTTGGCAGTACGTGAATCACTTACGTTTGCGTTTTCTGGCCATGCAGTATCATTCACAATTTGATAGATTTATTCAAGACAGTTGCTGCCAGACTTGCAATTTCACATGCAATTTTGATATTTCAGAACGAAGATTATTATGGCTTCCTAGACTGAGCATTTCAACTTCTGCTTTCACCTTAACCATGACCCATCTTCCCCATTTCCTTTGTCTTCAGTAGCTCATTTTCACTATTTTGACCTGAATGAATCAATGCGCCTCTCAGAAAGGACACATCCTACAGAATGGCCGCACCGGTTATATAATAGTTTCCAATTTCGCAACAGTGACAGCCAACGCTTAGTGAGCTTAGGAGAAAACCCACTGTGAATGTAAAAATTCACGAAATCCTCCCCCTTCATCCCCTTTTTCCGTTGAAATCCTATTATCAATTTTTGTTGTTGTTGTTTTTTGTTTTTTTTTTTTTGCCAAGAAAGATGAAGCAAATCTAGTCGCCTGCCTCCTACAACATGAACAAGATACTTCACAGGAGAGGCCATTTCTTAGGGAGCTGCTAATCATTTACGCTTGGCTGCAAATCAAGTCAACTCCTACTCAGAAATCCAGCAGTTGGATGCTACGGCAGATGTGCATGGACTGCTTCCCTTCTTCCCTTGTAATTACAACCCAAATCTCTCTGTGGAATCTTCTTGGCTAGGGAAACACTTATTATAATTTGAAGACGTGTTTAAACTAAGTATAGAATAGCCTCCCTGCTTCACTCTCTCCATCCCCCAAAAAACCTGAACAGTTCCTTTTGGATTTCCTCAAATAACTGAATGTGGGAAAACAACATCCCGTGGGCTTATTGGCTGGGTAACTAAAGACGCCCACAACACACAGAGGCCTTCTAATTAAAGCTAACTGGGCAACCTACATACATGAAAAGTTTAAGCTTAGATTATTAAAAGTTAGAGTTTAATGCAAAGCGCTAAGCAAAGAATCTAAAGAATAAAAGCACTATGCTTTCAGTGCATATAGAGTAATTTAGTTTATCTCTGAATTAGTATCAGAATATTTCAGAGAGTCAAATTTTCAGAAGTCACGAGTGATTCATGCTGCTGCCATTCTTACGTGCGTGAGATGCCAAAAAGATGCCAATTACCACAATGTGCTAAGTAGCCCCAGCCATCTGGGAGCCTGGTCTGCTAGGAAATCCCAGTCCCCCTCTCCCCTCCCCACAGAAACCGGCATTCACTAGCTGGTCTCAAAAATCTCAGCTGTAGCTGGCTAATAAGCAACAGAGCTATTAAAAACATGCATCTCAAAGATAAAAGGGGAACATCCAGCCTATGAGTTATTTAGGCCTTAGTCAAAAATGATGGTCTCCAACCCCAAAGCCAGCAACAGTCCTGATTCACATCTGAACCTCCCAGCTGACCTCGTTTTGCATGAACCAAACCCCAGGCCCCCACCAAGCCTTTCTCAAAGTAAAGGAAGGAGGATGGGCTTGTGGTAAAGGCAAGAGCCCAAAGTCAGCTGCAGCTTCTGCCTCTGTCCCAGATTTCCTGGGCAACTGAACGGAAGGCAACAAAGCCGTAATTTTCAAACCTAAATTTAGACTCTTAAATAGAGCAACAAAAAAATGGATCTGTTGTCAAAAGCATGTTGTTCTCATGAGTCATATTGACACTAAGGAACCGTAGGTGTGTACTACATTTAAAGACCTATTTGCTTACAGACACTATAATCCAAACACTCCGGATGCTGTTGATGAAGACCAAAGTGCTCTCCAGCATTGTCAAAAGACTTCCAGAGGTTGATCTAATTTTAACTGTTCTGTTACATTCCCTTGATTCCCTGCAAGCATCTTTCTCTCTGCCAGCCCCAGTGTCTCTCCCCAGCGGGTGACCTGCCAGCACTAAACTACCTCAACAATCTCCGTGGGCCAGATTGTTTCCCAGTGACTGGTGTAAATAAACCAACATCCAAGAAGGCAGCACCCAACTTCATGATGCTGGAGCCTGGTCCAAACGCAGGCAGGACAGAAGCTGAAGGACTCTCATCTGAGTTTGCTGTCTTTTCTTCTTATAACAGGAAAAATTACATCTGTATATTTATGGGAGACAAAGCCAAAATATCGTACAGCATATTCCAATTCAGTGGCACCATCTGCAAAACCCAAACTCTTCATTTAGCTGCCTGATTTATGCCTTCCATTCCAAGCAACATAGTTGCGTGGTGGGATAGCAATGAGTTCAGCTTAAAAAAAAATGCCTGCTGTTGCAGACAAAGAAAAAAGTAATGGAAAGAAACAACACAGACTATTGACAAAGAATGCCTTTTTTTAAAGAGAAAAGAAAAATCTTCCTTCTAGATCAACATCATTTCTTCATTACGTCTCCATCCAGAGCACTGCAGTATGGGACATAATTAAATTCACTGTCATGACACGTAATTAAATCCCAGCTTGGGGAATAATGCAGCACGGTTATTTCAGATACAGCAATGCTCTGCCTCAAACATATTATTTCACAGTCCATACTTGGAAGCAGCAGCACATACCTTTCCCTCTACTGCAGCAGGAGGTAAAGAAAGGGAGAAAACACCTGCCTGAGTGGACTACAGCGCTTCCCTTGCTCAGAATTTGCATCTGCCAAGAGAATGCGTTGTGAGATTTAAGTAGCGAAAGAGATTCAGTGGGACAAGAGATCAAATCAGATCTCTGCAGTGACGTTTCTTAGCATCTCCATTTATTGCCTGCCTATTAGTAGCACTAACACTTGCCTTGATAATCTCCTGCTGAGCCAGAAACGTGACTCGGGGACTGGAAGCTCCAGGGAAATTTGCCCAATTGAGTTTCCTTCTTCTGTTTTCTTCATTAGCAGGGTTTGCTTGTCTCAGGGAGCAGGCAGGGAGGCCGTCTGTTCGTTTCAATCATTTGGCTAAGCTACAGGCCAGGGATGCTTGAACAGTGGACTCTGGTCTTCTGCGCTGCCTTGAGGGCTCCCCCACCTACCTGGAGGTCTTCCTCTGTAACACCCCTGGAAGGAGCTCCACGACACACTCAGGTAACTACGCAGCTCTATCCTACGCACTGGTGGGACATTGTTTCTCACACCTCACATGACCAGCACACTTTCTCCAGGCCCTA